TTTATACTCATTGAAACTCAATGCAAACAGATAGCATTTACTAGTACTCATCACCAGAACAAAATGTTGATTGTCACTCAACTCATCATTTTTAGCATTTTTTTTATTAATTTGTTTAGATGCGGCAGGCATGAGATTAGGCAGAGCAATCAATACTTGGACAGATTTGATTTGCTGCACAACCACGTTTCTGTAGCCACAGTTCTTATCAGCACTTTAAAAAATGCTGAAATCTGCTCTTAAAAAGATGATCCTATTATCGGTATTCAGATCAATTTGATGCATTCGAAAGAAAGAAACAAATTTTTGCATCAGAACTTCACCAAGCAATGATCGTTCACTCCGTTCGATTAAAAACATTGATAAGTGAATGACTTTCCCTAGGATGAATATGCAGAATGTAGTTTAGAAATGAACATAAATCGTTCACATGATTTCATGGTGTCTCAGGCATGTAACATAATCATCAAATGAACTGTAACAAAACTAAAGTAAAAAATTAAAGCGAAAGAGAGTGTGCTCATTCAAGCGGTCCTACTCCACAACATCTGATAACTTTGTTTTGAGAACCCTTCCCTCGGTTACTTGAAACACTCAAAATTGAAAGACTGATGGATATTGAAAGCATCAGAAGTGTACTTATGACTCCAGTGATCCAGTGAGCTTTAGATGTTAAAAGCCATGATGAATTTAATTAATATTACGTCAGTATGGTGTTTTCATGGCCATCAAAATAATCGTGAGACATGATGACGTTTTAGTCAGAACAAAATTATTGATGTATTTAGGTTCGCACAGAGCATGTTACCTATTTGAACTAATTTTTATGACTCGCTTGAAAGTGTGATAATGATTCAGAGAGAGAATCACATCCCTAGAGCAGTCGCCTGAGTCTGGATTAACGTCATTTGCCAAAGAACGCATCTACCACCCTCGTCGATCAACTGATGATGATGATTTGACGCGTGGTTCATCGCGACGAACCAGTCGTTATAAATCCAAAATGGAGAAGGCCAGGAAAGAGTTCTTGTCTACAGATACCAGCCCTACATCCGGTATCAATCAGTGATTTTTCTAAGTTTTTTGTTTGGATTACAGCCTTGATTCTTATGCGCGATATGCCATTCTACCTTCACACTGAATCGTTTGCCAAACAGTTTTGCTTGGAAAACATTCATCGACTGATGCGAAGATTGATATAAAATTGCCTTTTTGGATGATGGGATCTTCTTAGAGCCTCTCGCTTATACAACATCATTCCAGATCCTTACGGTGATCGTTTCCGTCAGTCACAAGAAGATCTGCAACGTCCTCGACCTGAATATCGAGGAACCTTCCCGCAACAAACCTACAGCAATGGTGATTGGATACCAAAGACTGGCACGGATTTGCAGTCTTACCCACGTGTTGGTCCAAGCCCTTATGATCAAGTTAGTTTCAGTATCCGTTCATTGAATAGGGTATCCTTTATCGTTCCATTTCAACGAAATACTCAAATTCATAAACCTAACAATAATGGAATCGAGAATGGAATGTTTGATTCAGTCCTTCGAATATGCTTAAAAGTTATCTCCTTTGAAATGCTTCTTCACCTGTTCAATTTCACCTCCTACTGTTGTCCAGATTCACTGATTGTTCCGTTGCTTTATCGCTTATTGTTCATGTTTCTTCTACATAATCAAACTCGCATTCCTCTGTTCACCTTTTCATTTAAAGAGTCATTTAATATTGATGCTTTGACCAATGGTCCTTTCTGAGTGCTTCCATAAGGCGATGCAACTGTAAATGAGAAAACAGATGACAGATTACGCCTCACTTGATGCGATACTATGTTGAGTGTGTATACAGTTTAAGGAATCTATTTTCGAGCTTTCCTGTCTCTCGGAAGATGTTAGAGTGTTGTTTGTTACATAAACAAAGTTATCATTGAGTCCTTAGGACTAAAATTGGAATGTTCTTGTTTTACTGCTGTGAAATTGATCAAATTGTTGATTGATTGTTGCTTGTTGCTTCT